CTGACCCCAAATGTGCTTTGTAACGTTGAATGTGGTTACAGGATTCCTCCTCTCTCCCTCCCTCCCCCCTGTTTGAGATGCAGTCCTGGCAGAAGCTTGCACTAGTTAATCTTAAGACCATTCCAATGGGATGTGTGTAGGAGAACTACTAGCAAAATCGGCGTAACATTCGAAGCAATCTGCTTCTGTTTATATACTTTTCCTGCTCTTACCAAGAGGAGTGCAAAGATAAGTCTCGAGGGTAAAGTTTTCAGAAAAAGTTCTCTTCCTGGCATAGACACCAGTTCACGTAGGCACTTGTGCACTTGAGGAACTGGATTTTTATGTTAAAATATTGAGACTGCTCGTGTGCATATCTGTAGGATAAAGTCTTGGAAGAGCTGTCCCTGTGTATTTCACACATCGGCTGCTTTCCAAATGCAAATAAAAGGCTGTCATAATTGAGATAAGGCTCAGATTATGCTGGTATATCTACAGTGCTGATAAAGGTATGATTAGATGGGCAAATGTGCCCAGTTAGCTGTATCCTAGCTAGTTTAGCTCCAGGATTAGTCTTCCTTCCCCTCAACAGTAAACCAAATAATTCCATCAAACATTTCACAAAGTTGTCCAAATTGAGCTCAAACTGCCTTGTCTGTGTGAATAGCAGATGGGTTTTTTACGTCACACCGTAGCTAAGCCCAAGACAAAGGTGCACCTAGTGGAACATGTTCAGGAATTCACTCTAGACACAAGTGCCAGCTTAAATGTAGTCAATTTTTTCTCATTTTTATTCTCTGCCATTACCAGCACAAGCTCCAGTTCTGAGGGCTGTCACTCAAACCTACAGTGTGGTTTTAGCATTGTTTCTTTGCCTCCTGTGCTGATGGTATTACTTTGCAAGGAGCCCAATATTAGCAAAACAAATGTCAACCCAAAGCAATAGCTGCAGCACTTCAGGCCTCAGTTCCTTGTTGCAGCAACTTAGTGATAGACTTCCAAAGAACAAATGAAAAATAAGTTGTAACAGAACATGAGCCTACATTGTAAATATTTATTTGGGTTGATAAGAGAAATATCAGTTGTAACTGTTAGCTTTTGAAACAGCAAACTCAGTAGTTTTATGGCTTATTTGTACTATATGTTTTGTTCTCCTAGTATCTCTTTCTCAGATGTGGATTTGATAGAAATCCCAATGGACTGTTAGGTATTTACTTACGTAAAACATTGTTTGATCAATGCTCTTTGCGTTGTTTTTTTTCCCAGGGCAGTTAAAAATTGCTTCAGGAGAGTCATACTGAGGAGGGAGGAAGTGAGGAGGAATACACTTCCCTTTTTAATGAAAAACCTATCTCTCTTGAGTAGAACATTAGCTTTTTTTGCATGTGACTTCGAGTTAGAAGATAGACAAATACTGGTTGAAAACTGGCCTGAATGCACAATCTTTTGTTAAAGAGAAAATTCAAAAGTTTTGAGTAGTTTTGCTGGAGTTCAGTGCCTCCCAGGCAGTGATTCAGGAAGGCAGCACAACATATGTATGCGTATCTATATATTTCTATTAACAGTTTTCTATGCATGACAGTGCTTTGAGTTCCTTTCCTGGTAGCTCTTGGAGTCACATCTGTTTCCTTGTCCTAGTAGCCTGGATTTCCTTCTGATATTATTTCAGCCAGGATCTGATTTTCAAAACTGTATGCATAGTTATATGTATGGAACTGCTCCATGAAGAGGGTTGGGTGTGATGATGTTCAGTCACGCCACACCTAACTTTCAGACAACTACTCCCAGAATTTTTGGGATGGGAAAGCCATTTACTTGAGGAACAAGAATTTTCTCTGGCTAGGTATTTGTCTGAGCTTGTAGCGTAGCTAATACGCACAGAGTATTTTTTAGATAGAAATTAGTAATATACTGCCAAATTAAAAGGCTGAAGTTAAAGGTGTTTTGCTGAAGAAAATGCAGGTTTAATAGTCATAGAATCATAGATTTTTTAGGTGTTGAATGGACCTTACAGATCATCTAGTCGTTGTAGGAGAGATGCTCGTCCTCTTATCAACTTTGTGGCCCTTCTTTGGACTTGCTCTGAGAGTTATAATGAGTATATGCTGTGGAAAATAATTTAAAAATTAGCTTATTAGATGGAAATCATGAACAAGACTAAGTTGGTGCCTTTGTGATTGGATCAGTTCCTGGCCAGTAGTAGATATTTGGCACAACTGATGAAAGAAGAGGAAAAGATCAATGAGCTAGGAAAAAATCCCAGCAAATTCTTAGTAATGAAAGCTTTACTTCTAATTTTTTTTGGTGTGTGTTATTCTCTGAATCCTAGTGGAAATGGTTGGATTATCTGTAAACTTCTAGATTGTTGGATATGGCTTTTTGGCTACCTTTTCCCATGAACTTCCTTGGAAAAAACCCAGGCTTTGGACCATCAAAGCTAGATCAATATAGGAAGATTTAGTATATCAGTTATGTCTTTAAGAAGTCAAACTTAGGAAAAGAGAGGAAAACATATTCTTCTACTGAGCTGTACTGACAAATTTGGTTTTTTTTAATTGAAGTTCTACTTTAGAAACTTATCTAGTAAATGAAAATGCCACAAGATTTAAAAAAAGGCAAAAATGCAGCCAGTCTTCAGGGGCACAGACACTCTGCTGACTTTCTCTGTCTGTATCCTGAAGAACTTAGCTACAACTGTGTTGTCTCAAACACAAGTTCTTAAGTTATAAATAATTCAGAGTAAATCAAGCTGTAACATTTGATCACCAAACCCATTTTTTTGTGTGTAATTAATTCTTGGTTTTCATGTACAGTTTTATCTTGACTCTGAATTCTTTCCCTGAAGTTGCCAGGAGGTATCTGGTTGTCATATTTACGATGAGAAATGACACACTAAGGCTGTTTATGTAACACAGGATTTAATCAGTGGACACTTGCAGTATGTGCTTGCTCCCATTTGTTTATTATAAAAACCTTACAGTCTTAATTTACAGTTTAAACCTTTCTAAAATTGTAATCCACAAGGCAGAAATAAAACAAACCTTCTCCTAGAGGATTTTTTTACTCTGTGTGTGTATACAAGGGGGAAAATACCTGTGAGTTTTTCAGTGGCTTAGAGTATTTCAGTAGTTTGATGCCTTATAGAAACTGTCAACATTGGTTTTTTACAATTGATAGACTAGGGGAATTGTAGTGAGTGGGCCCTGCCTGGGTGCCAGGTGCCCACCAAAGCTGCTCTCTTACTCCCCTCCTCAGCTGGGCAGGGGAGAGAAAACACAACAAAAGCTCATTGGGTGAGCTAAGGACAGAGAGAGGTCACTCATCGATTACTGTCACAGGCAAAACAGACTTGGGGAAAAATTAATGTAGTTTATTACCAATCAGATCAGAGTAGGGTAATAAGAGATAAAACCAAATCTTTAACACCTTCCCCCCACCCCTCCCTTCTTCTCAGGCTCAACTTCGCTCACATTTTCTTTTCCTTCTCCCTTAAGCAGCATAGGTGGACAGGGAATGGGGGTTGTGGTCAGTACACACGTTTCTGCAGCTCCTTCTTCATCAGGGGCAGGACTCACCACACTCTTCCCCTCCTCCAGCATCGGGCCTCTCCCATGGGAGACAGTCCTCCACAAAATTCTCCAATGCTGGTCCTTCCCGTGGGCTACAGTTCTTCATGAACTCTTCCAGTGTGGATCCTTTCCACAGTGTGGATCTTTTCCTGTGGTTGTCCTTGAGGAACAGCCTGCTCCAGCATGGGTCCCCCGCAGGGTCACAAGTTCTACCAGGAAACCTGTTCCAGTGTGGGCTCCTCTCCACAGGGCCACAGGTGCTGCCAGGAGCCTGCTCCAGCCTGGGCTTCCCATGGGGTCACGTTCTCCTTTGGACATCCACCTGCTCTGGTGTGTGATCCCCCACGGGATGCAGGTGGATATCAGCTCCATTGTGGACCTCTGTGGGCTGCAGAGGGACATTCTGCCTCACCATGGTCTTTACCATGGGCTGCAGGGAAATCCCAGCTGTACTGCCTGAAGCACCTCTTCCCCCTCCTGCACTGACCTTGGGGTCTGCAGAGCTGTTGCTTCCCCGTATACTTTCTCCTGTCTCCCAGCTGCTATTGCTCTTTTTTTTTTCTCCTTAAATACGTTCTCCAGAAGTGCTACCACTGTCTCTGATAGGCTCAGCCTTGGCCAGTGGTGGGTCCATCTTGAAGCTGGCTGGTGTTGGCTCTGTTGGACATGGGAGAAGTTGCTAGCAGCTTCTCAGAGAAGCCACCCCTGTAGCCTCCTTGCTGCCAAAACCTGGCCACACAAACCCAGTGCAAGAATTCATGGATCTAACATCACACTTGAAATAGTAATCCAGAGGAGTTATTTTGGTAGTGGGAGAAACCAAAACTTCCTCATTTTCACTGGTAATTTGTTGAAATTAAATCAGAGAGGGACTGTTACCTAATGCTGTGTTTGCTATTCTCCTTGTACTTTTTGTCTCTCTCTGTTCCTTGCCAACTCCAGGCTTCCGCTGATCCTCTGTGTACCCAGCTGGCAGCATCTGTCTGAACTCCAAAGAAATGCAACCAACATAGTCTAGGCCATATCCTAGACGTCACTGCCAATGTTGGAACGCTTTACTGGTCATGCGTCCCAGAGGAAAATTTTCAGGAATTTTTTCTCTTAAATCTTGTGTTATAGAAAAGAATTTTGTATGTCGGGGGATAAAATGTGCAAGCAGGGAAACAAATTATTCCTTTCCTGAAGTCTGTCTTCTGCAACCACCCAGGTTTAATGCTTAGAGGCAAGCATGGCTTTCTACTTTTGCAATGCCCTTTTACAGTTTTGATGATCTAGATGGATAGAGCTATACTTGGTGTTTTTATTAATGAAGAATTTGTGCTCTCATTCCTTTTTATTTAAAAGAAATGGCTGCAAGCAAATGACCTTCAGAAAGAAGTATACCAGCATCTCGCCTATTATGTACCAAAAATTTACTGCAGGGGTCCTAACCCTGCCCCTCAAAGAGAAGACATGCTGGCCCAACACGTCTTGCTGGGACCAATGGAATGGTATCTCTGTGGTGAAGATCCTGCCTTTGGTTTTCCAAAGCTCGAGCAAGCAAACAAACCTTCCCATCTCTGTGGCCGCGTTTTTAAAGTGGGAGAGCCTACGTATTCTTGCAGGTAGTTTAACCTAACATTGTGAAGTATTTATAATTTGTGAAGTCATGGAATGCTTTGCAATAAGAATATACTGTCCTAATGAAAAGTTAATACCCCAAATGTATTTTTGAAGTAACCTGGCTGTGTTTCATGACAGGTGGGATTGGGGGAAAATTAACACATTACATATTTGGAAAAATATTAATTATCATAAGGTAGAGTGTTTTCTGTACAAAAGAAATGCAAGATTGAAAAAGTAGTTGGGGTGACCTGTCAGGGTGATTTAAGGACATTAATCAGAAGTAAGTGGGCAGGTGTGTGTGCTTGTATTTTGGGTGTTTAATATCAGCTGTTAGTTTAGACCTCTTTCCATGACCTGTTAAACCAATCTGTTAGATGAAACAGGTGTCACAGCTTCTTGTTCCTTCCCTACCTCTAGCTCTCTCCAAAAATACTTTGAAAGAGAACAGGAAGCTACTAACCAATTACAAGTATTTAAAAATATCATCAGGTTTAAGCCATTTTATTACTAGGTGTATGTTTGTTTTCATCTTCTCTTCCCTGAACTGTCTGTGGTTTAATTTTAGTTTGTACCTTCTCTGCCATAGATTCTTCTCATTTTGTATGGTTTCTACCACTCACTGGGACACTTGAACACTTGTTGGGGTTATAGAGGAGGGAATGTTTGTCTTATTTCAAGGGTTTATTTACCTAGGTTTACATCCCCTGTATTTACAAGGAGACAATGATCGTGAAAGAATTTTATTCTCTAGTGCTCTCCTCCTCTAGAAACATAATACCTTACTGGCCTTTTGGTTTTGGAAATATTCTGAGACCTTTATCATGAGATTAAACTGGTGGTTACTTTAGATACTTGTAACCACTAAGAAAACTCCATCTCCTCTCAGGTGTGCTTAGTTTCTTCCTTCACCCGGTGAAAAAGTAGAGGAATCTGGGTAGGGAAGCTGAAGACTTATCAGAGGCTATAAAAAGATTTTCCACAGTTTCTTTAGTATATTTTCATGAAATCTGGTCCAAAGAGCTAGAAATCCAATAACCTCAGAACTAGTATTTTAATTCAAGTCAAATTGCATTGCAGCCTAGATATGTTAATGATCAAATACGGTTCATGAAATGAAGTGAAAACTTTGGGAGTTATGTAATTTTCTTCTAAACACTTGCTTTTTCAAGACCAGCAACTCAATGTGTAAAGTATACCCTGGAGTATACTGTCAGGTATGATGAAAACACAGAGTAATGCAATCTATTGGTAGAATTTGGAGAGTGAGTGGATGCTCATACCCAGAGTCTTTGTTTCTGTAGAGAAATGATTGAAATACAGCAAATCATAATGTCATTCAGGTTAGAAAGGGTGCCTGGGTGGGCCACCTTGTCCAGGCTTCTACTCAAGTCAGGCTCAGCAGTGAGTACAGACTGGTTTTGTTGTTGTGGCTGTCAAGGTGGAGTCTCTCATCTTTCAGTCAGGAAACATTTCTTTCCTGTTGTGTGTTTATTTTCTTTAATTTATACCTGGTAATGAAAACTAGTGAGAGCTTAATTTAAGCTTTTGTGGAATACAGCAAAGAATTGTTTTTCAAGTCCACAAAGTACATTAAAAGCAGGCAGCGAAGAATTGTTTCTCAAGTCCACAAAGTACATTAAAAGCAGTGGATTTTCCATCCAGTGGCATAGCTTACAGGTCTGCCTCTGCTTTAGGATTAAGCAGTTTGTTTGAGAAATTACTTGGCAAATGGTACTGAGCTTGTTAGTACACTGTGGCAGTGTTGTAGAACTGATCTACCAAATCCTGTAGGCATATTACTGCATTAAGTGGTGTTGATTTTTTTATTTAATTAAAAAAATAATGTCGTGAACATAAACTGCACTAAAACAGAAGAGCTCCATATAATTTTTCTTTGTCGTTTTCCCTTTTAGTGACTCTTCTGGAGAAAACAAATGTGAAAATGGCACTTTATCATGGTTGCCTGATTATCTTTCCATCATTTGGTTAAATGAAATTAAGATAATTTTTGTTAATAACATTTCTTGTTATCTCTGGTGCTTTCTTTTAAACAAAATAAGTTGTTTCTCTGAATTTTTGTATTAATCATTATAAGACAGACATTCTCTTGGTAGTTATTTTTACATTGCAAAACCTGACTCCCTTGATCTTGAGGTGCCTTGAAGTCACTTGCATTACGTAAGCTCATGTATTTTCAGTGTTTCTCAGGGAGACAGTTAAATATAATGCATAATTGTCTCACGCATTTGTTTAGCCCCTTTTGCTGGAAATATTACTTCTACCTCATATAGCAGTGCTTGGAGACAGAACCTTATTATTGTCTCTGATCTCTTGGTTGAGGAAATTACATTCTCACACCTCTTCAGTGAGCTTGTAGGGCTACGCTTAGAAGCAGAGGTTTGATCTGAACTGTTGTGTGTGCTATCAGTGTTCAGTGAAAAAATGTCTTCTCTGATTGCTGGAGATCATTAGTGCTTGTACTCTGTACTTGAGAGAACTTGCTTGGGTTTACACTGTCTGCCTGTCTGGTCTGTGTTATGTAATTCATCTGTTTACTTGCTTATATACTTGTCTCACCTTTTGAAGGCAATATCTGTATTACCCAGCTATACATACTACCCACAGGATATTTTAAATCCTCTATTGTTGTGATTTTTTTATTCCCTCTTTGAAAGCCAACCCTTAACTCTGTCAGAATATTACATTAGTCAGAAGGTTTGTGTTGATGGTATTTGAAAATTACCTGTTGTAAAATGTGTAATTAAGGGCAAACCCAAATGTTTAATGCCTTTTTTTTTTTTCTTTCTGTGGTTGCTGTTTTCAGAGACTGTGCAGTTGACCCAACTTGTGTGCTATGCATGGAGTGCTTTCTTGGAAGTATTCATAGAGAGCACCGATACAGGGTTAGTAATGCTGCTGGACTCGATGATGTAGGCATTAGTAATTTTATGTCTCTGTGAAACTCCTTGTTTCCAATTTAAGAATGTGCACATAATTTCAAAATGTTGAGTGAGCACAAAGTTTGGAATTATATCTGCAGTAATCTTACAAGAACTTGAGTGTTTTGATCAGAGTGTGAATTCCGGAAGTTAACACTGTGAAGTATTGAGCAATTAAATTTTATGCACAACAATTTAGCTCACAAATGTGTTATTTTTAATGTGTAGCCTTTAGTGAATTTTACAGCATCAGAGTTGTTTTTATGACTTTCTTTGACCTTTGTTTGGCTGTTTCTAAAAGCTATTGAAAACCCTTTATTAAGAAACCACTTCTGTTTACAACTTTTTTCCTTTAAACATCTGACTTGTTATCAAATTCTGTACAATAGCAGGATTTTCATTTTAAACACAAAGTTAAAATAGAAAATCTGAAAACCAGGAAAACCCACAGCCTTCAGGTGGGGCAGAATGGAATCGTTTGAAGATGTTTTGTTGTTTGGTTTGTTTATGTATATGTTAATATTAGTTTGCATATATGTATATACGTAGTCACACGATCAGCTTTGTTTTTAAATGATTTTAGATGACAACATCAAGTGGAGGAGGTTTTTGTGACTGTGGTGATACAGAAGCTTGGAAGGAAGGTCCTTACTGTCAAAAGCATGAGCTTAACACTTCAGAGACTGCAGAAGAAGAGGTAATTAGAGTTGAGGCATTGTGTTTCAAAACATTGTTAACTGTGTAGAGATGTGTATATATATAAATCATTCACATAAGGTTATTTTTAGTCTTGTATATTATATATGAGAGACAGCAGGAACTCTAGTAGTAATGTTTCAACCACACTGTTAGACAAAAATTAATGTCTTGTCTGCCTTAAGAAGTTATTTAGAATTACATTTTCTACTTGAAGGCTTCATTTTGTATGTTTTTGGTCACGTCTGCAGCTTTGGTTCTGTTTCATTGTTTTTCTGTCTATTTCTGCCATGTGCAAGAAAAATCTTTAATCATGTGCATCAAGAAGGCAAATTCAGCTGTCTGTGCAACATATGTTCTGATTCTTACCAAAGTAAAGTGCACAGATTTTAAAAATCAAAATAACTTGCTGTTACAGGAAAGTCATAATGGAGATATAAGCTTGAGGCCTCTAAAAGCTTGTTTGGTATGGAGAAGGTAAATAGAGAACATATCTTCACCACAGAATCATAGTGTAACAACTTGGACATATTAAATGCACAAAGACATGCCACTTCATACAGTATGAATTAAATCTGTTGGGCTAACTTGCCAAACACCATTGTTGTTAAAAGTTTATTTATGTTCAGAAGGAAATTTAACATGATCATGGTGGGGAAAATTATCAATGGCCATTTAAAGTTGCAGGTACCATCTTTGGTGTGGGAAGTATTAGTTAAGTAACTTAAGTTACTGGAGATTAGAGAAGCATTCTGTTCTCTGCTTATACTCTTCATATCTGTTATTACATCTCAGGACTGAGTGTGGCTAATTGGGCTTTTGGTCTAGCCACTCATGTCTGTTCTTACATAGTATAATTTCAGTGAGGTTTTTGAAAGGGAAAATATAAGGCAAATTTTTGTTGTAGCTTTACTGATCTGATGGTTTAAGTGAAGCAACTGTAATTGTATTTTCAGTGACAGCGGTACTTCTAAAACCTGTTTTCACTATCTCAACCCTAAGACTCAAGCAGGAGTCTAGCACTGCTGCTGGACTCACCACTTGGTCTGCCTGCCAGTTTACATGAGTTAGCAGCATTAAGAAACTCGTTTTATGAAATGTTGGATGGAGCACTGTGTCCAAAGGTACTCACACAGAGAGTGTGACTGGCAGAAAAATTAAGGTACTGGGCAGGCTTTGTGTTTCTTCCCCATGAGTGATGGGGATTGAGATCTTTTATGTTATGCAGTGTTGTGTTCAAGGTAGATTAAGGATCATTTGTTGAGCATTATTGGAGCCTGTTTTCTGCCTTAGCTTATGTGTGTCTTTGTTAAAAGTGCTGGGAGTGGATGGAGTGCTGCTGCTTGCAGTTTGCCTTTGGTGACTGATAGTTCCTCATAGCCTAGATAAATTTTAATTGAAAGAAAAAGAAGAGAAATGGCAGTTGTTAACATTCCTGTAAATCTTCCAAATATCCCCAAGGAATATTGAGGGTGGAGGATAAACTTTACTAGTACAGGTGAATTGCTGGCTGTCAAGAGCCTCCTGTAGATTATGCAGACTGAGTTCTGAAAAGATTATTGTGGCCATTTTTATAAAACGTAAGCTGCAGTGACACACAGAATCTGGCATCAGGTAATGCTAAACCAGAAATTGGGCTACTGTTAAATATTTTGGTTGGCTGACAATTGCACATACTTCAAAATACCAAATGATGAATCGAGTCAGTGACCCAACGTATAGTATGTGTGCAGGTGACCTGCAGGGCATGCCATGTTCCCTTTCCAGCTTTGTAGAAGAGAATCTAGTTGTTCTCAACATCAAAAAATTGAAATAGTAGAAGACTGCTCCTTCCAGAGAAGAGGTTTTAAAATACTTTCTATTCACAATCCATGAAATGGATTGAAGGGAAACAGCAGTGGTACCAGCACTGCCTGATTCAGAGTTGGCAGTGGTTCCCATTTTCTGCACCAGAAAGTAGTCCATTTGATTTTGCAGACTGAGGCAGCACTCTTCTGTTTCCCCCTCCTCATTTCTGCTGCTGCACCTGCAGCAGCAGCCATTCTGCTCTGGCAGGGAGAGGAGAACAAGTTTATAGTGCCTGCTGCAGTTACCAAATGGAGAGTGCAGAATGGGCACAGGTGGGTGCATGGCCCAGAGACGAAAGGGGAGCAGTTATCTGTGAGCAAGACTGAGACAGGGGCAGATCATTATGAAATGCTTCGTTACATTTCAGCATTTAGTGATTTATATACCGCTGCATATAAGAGACGTGCATCATAAATCATGGTGCCAGTGTGCTGCATGTTGTATAGGTTTGGATAGATAAGACTTGTGCCTTTAAATGCATACTGCATACAAAAGAGGGCAACAGATGCGCAGTCGTTTGTGTTCTGCAGTTTGCTGATATTGTTAAGTGGAGCAAAAGATACAGTGATTGGAATTTGTTTTTGAAGGCACAGCAGAAGAAGCAGGCTTTAATACAGCTGAGGTTAAAAGTTCTTCAGAAGAACTACCTTAGAAGGTGTGCAGCAGTGGGAAGAAGGGAAGTGAAAATGGAGAAATGTGTGAAAATGTAAATGGCTGATCAGAGGCAAGTTAGCACTGAGATACTGAATGTTAGGTTAGAGCTTTTGTGACTGTCACTGTAGAACTTGAAAAGATGATGATTATTGACTATCCCTTTCAAATGCAAAGCCATTTAAAGACAGACATCCTTAAAGGTGCTTACATCATCTTTGATCAAGAGAGGTGCAAATTTGACAGTTTGAGTGTCATTTAATTTCTCATTTACTATTTATATTTATTTTCCAGGATCCTCTTGTGCATTTACCAGAAGATATGGTAGCAAGAGCTTATAATATTTTTGCCATCACATTTAAATATGCAGTAGATATATTAACATGGGAAAAGGAAAATGAATTGCCTGGACTTGAAATGATGTAAGTATAACATTTGTCTTCTGCCTTTTGAAGGCTTGCAGATACTTACAGTCAATAATGCGCATTCTGATTTTGAGTATCTTTTCTGCCTTTTATAAAGTCATCAGAAATATTTTGTAGACAATAGACTGAAATAATTGGAATAGATTTGTATTTCTAAGATTTTTTACTTTTGTGGTTGTACAGCATATTTCTCTGTATAGCAATGTCAGAACAATTTCTTTCCAATAACTTAATTTTCTCAATATTTAAAAGGAAGTATTAGTAAAATACAACACCCTAAATCAAGTGACCTGTTAATTTCTTATGATAAAAGTTGTTGAAATCCTGATGGCAGAAGTATGTAGTATGTGGGTCACCAAAAGTACAAAAAATTTTTAAGCATTACAGAATGTTTAAGTGTATTGTAGCATCACAGTTATTATGGATTAATTTGTGGTGTCTTGTTAGTATCTTTGTGTTGTGTGTGCAAGAATGCTGTGTAAATAAATGATGGGAATCCAAAGATTGCGCTGAATATGTGAGCTTAATAAGTTGTGGTTTTGAGTACTGTGCAGTTTGAGTTTTTTAAGAGACTGCCAAGTTTTTGTTGTCTTATAGACCTTTATGCAACATTGGGAAAACAGCTGTGGCAAAATAATGCCAAGACTGGTGAAATCTCTAAGAAGCTATGAGGGGCAGGTATTGAGCACAGCTGCACTGGAAGTCAGTTCATAATCAACAAAAAAAAAAGACTCAGATTTAAGTATTGTCTGGAGATTTTGCTCCTTTTGGACTTAATTCTACAGGACATATGCACATTCCTATAGAGGTTAGGAGTGAACGGTACTTTTCAAATAAGTTGTTGAGACATGTTCCAGTATAGCAAAGCTTGGGTTGTTTGCTTGGTGGAAAACTCTGTTAAACTGGAAGTTGATTTTTTGAATTACATTGCTTTGAATGATATAAATTCAATCCTTGCTTTGAAGTGAGAAGAGTGACACTTACTACTGCATGCTGTTTAATGATGAAGTCCATACCTATGAACAAGTTATTTATACACTTCAGAAGGCTGTAAACTGCACACAGAAGGAAGCCATTGGGTTTGCAACAACAGTAGATAGAGATGTAAGTAAATTAATTGCTAGAACTTCTAATTACCTTACCCCAGTGTTTATTTTATATGAGTACCCTTACTTAAGTTTGTTTTCCCAGAGCCTGTAGTTAATGTGATTGAGCCCTGTGTGTCACACCACCCTAGAATGTCTTAACTCATTGGCCAATGCAAACCAGACCTGAAATTGAATATATGTTTCACTGTAAATGTATTCCAGTAAGTCTTGTCGGGGTAGATATCAGGGTGTTTTTCACTCCCCTGTCAAGGACAGGCAGCAGCTTTGGCCCATCCCTTACTGCACACAGGGAGCTGACATGGAGCCCTTATGTGTGCTCCAAGCATAGGAAATGCTGCTCAGAGTAACACCGGTTGAGGGTGAAGGATAAAATCCATAATTGACTGCTTTTCTTCTGGTGGTTATGGAACTATTAGTGGTTTGTGGTTGGTTTTTTAAATTTAATATTCTTTTTCATAATTGGCAGATTATAATGGCAGGAAGAGGTGAAGCATTTCATGCAGCATTTAGATAGACCAATGAGTTCCGAATCACTATATGTGGAGTATAATTTGAACTGTATGTCAGTTTCAGAAGCTGTGTCTGTATTGTGGCTCCTGTGCATTTTTTAAACAAAGAGACACTTTGTAGGACAACTGCATCTTGCTATTTGTGCCATGAGCCTGCAAGCAGTTGCAATGAAAATTAATGTCCTTTTCTTTTGTTTGTTGGCTTGTGCCTTTTGGGGGAGGGAGGTGGTGTGGGAAGGAAATCTCTTCCAAAATGGCAATGGGAATGTTAATTTGGGTGGTTACAATACTTCAAGAAGGTCCATGGCGAAGGAAATATAACCACTTTATATTACTTAACAATGAAGTAGCTTTGGGGTCTGTATTAGCACTGCTCTATTTTTTGTGATACCAGTAACTGAAAGATTCCCATCTGATCCCTGAATATGTGCTGACCTGAGCACGTGTGTATTGTAGGATGCATTTAGGAGATTTTTCCCAACTGTTGGTCTGTATCCTACTTTCTAAGTACATACATTAATGTATATATACATGTGCATGTATGTGAAAGAAATGAGAAGGTTATGCCTGAAGCAGTGATTTGGCATCAGACCAAATCGAAAATACCAGTAAGCTGTTCTGTCTATAATGCATTATGAATTCAATCAGCTATCTATTTTGGTGTATGTTCTGACAGTATAGAAGGACTGAAAACTTCCTTTTGAAATACAGCAAGTGCTTTAGTTGTGTGATTAAAAGGCCAATTAGCTTTAATATCTGCTTTTTAAAAGGCACTGAAATTCTGCCAACACTAATGATTGATGCATTTATACTAAAGATAAGTTTTCTGTATTTTAAATAAAAGAAGCATGATGGTTACATCTTATGAACAATGTTATATACAGAAAATTTAGTATAACAGGTATACATGATATAATTTTATTTTCTTTTGAAAAGCACAGGGTGCACTTTGGAGATCCAAGTATGTAACTGTATACAGGACTTTAAAAAATGAAAATAGCATGAAAGAAGGAGTGGTTAACATGTATCTGGAGCTTTTACTGTATGTTTTATACCAATGTAAAACACAGCATTGTTTAGAAGCTGGTGGTAATATTACTTCTGTACGAATTTACAGGGACGTAGGTCTGTTCGATATGGAGACTTTCAGTACTGTGATCAAGCAAAATCAGTAATAGTGGTAAGCAATATTATCTACTTATTTGCCTCATCTTAAGCATAAAGAGGCTTTGCTGCAGAATTTTGTGATACTGTCACAGTAATGACTCTATATTTTAATAATAAAAAGTATTGAAGACACTATTTATAATATGCACACTAGAGGTATCAAAATAAAGTTTTATGCTCTCTTTTTTTTCCTATGGTTGTCTACCTTCCACACAAAATAATTTTCTAAAAGAAGCTCATAGACAACTTTTCTGTTCAGAAAACAGAATGTGATCAGGAACTTCAAATTTAATCTTTCAGAATTGCATGCCAGTTCAGATCAGTGAAGCTGAACTATTCTAGTTTTTCTCCTGTAACGTGAAGTTATTTGTGTCTTTCATAGCCACAACTATGGAAATTGTTACTGTTTGAATCTAATGTGAAACTACAAATACACTTTCATTTTGTGTCTGTGTATTTATGTATATATATTAATAATATCTATATATTGCAAGGTTCATCCATGTAAGCACATGGGAATAATGTGGTTCTGTTTAATTTTTCTTTAACTGCTGCAATGCAATACTTAATCACATGAAATAAATTGTTTATGTATAATACTGTTACCAGTGAAAAACAAACACTGCAACTAGAGTTACTGGGCCTTAAACTATTTAAGGTGTTTTGAAAACGTTAGTATATTTTCAAAGATAAAGTCGTGTGAATGTTTTTAACTTGCTGCTGATGCAGTCAGAGACCAAATGGCTTTTATGTGTAACATCTAACTATTATGGTTTCTAACACAGTGATAAGGGTAAATACTTTCTTTCTTATTCTAACTCTATTTAATTTGTATTTTTGAGAATAGTCCATGGACAATCAGTTTCTTTCCTTGGTGGGCTACTGTGTGACTTGCATGTCATGTTGTGAGGAACAAACATGCTTGGCCATCTTTGGCTGTGTGTGGGATTGCTTATCAGTAAAATGCAGGAGATCACTGTGTACATTGATAAAAGACCAAGAGTGGAAAATGGATTGACCTAAATATGCTGATATTGCATAACAAGGTACTTCAAATATTAATAGGATAAACAAAGTTCAGACTTTTGGGGTTTTGTTATGTCCATATTGGTAATTAAAATAAGGATATTATAGATTATTGAAATTAATCATAGGAATGCTGTGTTTCCGTGTAGAAATATATGCTAGCCCTCACTTAAATATGCATTACCTCCTTTGTCCTTCTTTTTTTAAGAGAAATACCAGTCGTCAGACAAAGCCATTGAAAGTGCAAGTTATGCACTCATCTATTGTTGCCCATCAGAGCTTTGGTCTGAGGCTCCTAACTTGGCTTGGCAGTGTTATTGGATATTCAGGTGGGCAATCTTGAACTTCTTTGCGATAAGTTAGAGAATATTTGTGAGACAAGCTGATTTTTCTGAAGCAGTTTTGTTCACTTATTCCAGATACTTGATGTATAAGGCAAAGCTATTAATAACTTGTCAGACTTCATTCTATTTTCTCTTCCTGGAGTGCTGTTCTGAATTCTAACATCCATGTGAAAGACTACCAGTCTTACGTAGTCTTTTCTGTTTAGTTGCTGTTGAACAGAAGCTGAGACTCACTGTCAAATGCAGTATGCCAAAAAAGCTGTTTTTCAGTCCCTAGTTCTTTTTAAATGAATGCAGTAAGCTGAAAATAACCTGTCTGATTAGATAAAACAAAATTATTCAGAAGTAATTTGATGAATGATGATGAAAGTGATTGCTTCAAATTTTTTTGCTAAGTAGAACAGAGGAAATGCAAGGATCTGTGGAGGGTTTTGGTAAGTATAGAAGCCTACAAAGTATTAACCAGATTTTTGAAAGAGGTTTCTTCAAAGGAGTCAGGATGCACAGGATCATTTTTTATGGGAATGCTCTGTGTTTTTGACTTGGTTCCTCCTTTGTCCTGGTAAATCATAAGGTTGTGAAGATGTGTGGGGTATGAGGGGAAATAAAAGGAAAAGTGACAAACTGCTGGTATGTAGAAATGTAGATAGTCTCCCATGCACTTTATGTTCCTTGCATCAGTAAATGTTAGCAGGAAGTATTAGCAAAGCACATTCAGCTGTAATACTGCATATATGTTCTGCGTAGGCATAAGATTTCTTCAGAGACTGTGTGTTTTATTAGACTGATAATTGGAAAACTAGCCAAGATTTCAGGCACAGGGTCTCTATAACATGGTCCCTTATTAAAAACAAATAGTTTATGTTTGAATAAGTAAATTTTTAATGATACATACATCAGACTTCAGAAGTTATGGCAGCAGTTTGTTCAGCTATTTGCCACTGTTGCTGGCAAACAGTGGGTGTTAATAGAAAACAGTTATGAAGATACTTAATTTCTGAGATAAATTTTCCTTTCAGTGAAACATGCAGGCAGGCACTGTCTTTGGCATTTTGATTAAGCCCAGTTTTGTGCCGTGTCATTTGTGCAAGGTGCCAAAGTCACTTATTTTCAGCACTAATTGACAGTTGCTGAAGGGTAACTTGAACATGTTAATGGTGTCTCAAATTACAGGAGAAAGCATTGAATTTATAGTTTGATTTGTGTGTGTATTGTTTGAAATTCTGAGGAGTCCTTTTCATTAAAAGCTGTGTCCTTTATGCCTGTGTTTTATTTGTGACCAATGTGCTCAGCTGCTTGAACTGCCTTACAGAGCTTGAGATGCAGTCTTGCAATGTGGTTGGGTTTTGGGAAATGCACTTTTGAAAAAGTTGGTTTCCCTTAGCTTTTTAAGAATCACATCCAAGCAACTAGATTCTGACTCACCTTTTAAAAGGCCTGTTACTGTTCATCTGTAACATGGGGTGATAGAGTTGCACCTCTTGGGTCCTTACACTTAAATGTCCCTGAATCTTTAACATGGGGTGATAGAGTTGCACTGCTTGGGTCCTTACACTTAAATGTCCCTGAAGCGAAGGCGATTGGCAGGTGGAGGGATCACAGTTAGGTTGGATGATTGCTGTGAGATGAGTTTCAAATTCTTGTCATCAAAAAAAGGGAAGAAACCTTGCTATGGAACTTTATCAGGAGTTTGACTATTACATTCTTTCTAGAAAGCGTCAGTTCTTCAGGGTATGTGTCTGCCTGGCAATTGCTGAACTATCCAGTAGTTTCCATTAATTTGTTATCCTTCATAACAGTAGTTGGAATTGAATTCTGCAAGGCATTAAAAAATAACACCAAACTACTCTAGGGCTTCACAGACTGTGTAGAACTGCCCCATGCAGTGCATGGTCTGACATACACAGCACTAAGCCACTGCCCACTTGACCTAAGAATCTGAGATGGCCAAGCAGCATGTGGAAATAAGGGCTCTTACTGTAAGTCACATAGTTCTTAGGGAATATGTGTTACCTGCAGTGCAAAGCCAGGTTGAACATTCTTAAGATGAGTGTGTCAGGGTTGTGCTCTTTTGCAGATGTAGGCTTGTCTACAAGCATATAATAACTTACATGTTCACGTAGTAACAATTATTACTGCTTTCCTTTAGAAGAAATATGTAGAGAAGCTCCAAAGTGTAAACAAAAAAACACATATATGAGTCATTTCATATATGAATTAATTTTCCTTTTGATAGGACTCTAAACAGGAGAAATAGAACCTAGAAAATTAGCCTGCTCTATAATTCTTTCTTACATTAGTAAGCCAGCAGCACTCTTAATGAAACACATTTTTACTTGATAACTCTGAAACAAATCATTGTGTTTGGCAATTTTCACACCATTCCTAATGTTCCATAAGGCTAGTGTGAAACTTGCAAGGTATGAGATGTTTGTGTTTCTGTCAGCAGCATATGAGTGGTGTTATTCAGTTGTCATGGAAAAGAGGGCCCTGTGGCAACTTCTGTGTTTTATGAAAATTTCAGTATGTCAAAATAACCTGTGTTTGTGTTTAAGCTATAACTGACTTGTATCATTTCTCTTCACTAAGCTGGCCTTCGCCGAATATTGTGTCAGGTTGGTTTGCAAGAAGGGCCAGATGGTGAAAATTCTTCTCTTGTGGATAAGCTGATGCTGTATGATTCTAAACTGTGGAAAGGTGAGTTTTCTCCAACTTTGGAAAATGCTAAGGAATGCTATGCATAAGCTTTCCCTTTACTGTATTGGCTAATGTTTGATCATTTTTACTGTGATGCATTATAGATAAATTTGCCTGATTTGTTATGATCTGTTGCTTCATGATGCACCCCCAGCTATATTTAAGGCATGAACATAAAGGGTACATTTGGACAAGGAGTTGGTTTTAGATGTAATTTTTCAAAGTGGTCTGAAATTAAGACTGACTTAAAAATGCAGATGACAGTGATAGCTAAGAGAAATTAAGTAAGACAATAGAGCAATTTGGGGTTTGTCTGCTTTGTGGGATGTCAGTATCTATATATCTGCCAAAATGCCTCTTCTCAAGGGACAGGGCAGACTTGTGTTTGTTCATGGGGTATTCTTAAGAGATCTGAGAAGATTCAGTGAAAACTCCTCTCCTGTTATTTTACAGCCCTTAAAACTTTAAAAGCCTGGTTGATACAATGTGATTGTCTAGAAACATTGTAATTTTGAGGAAGGGAAGGTTGTTAATTTGTTTTTCTTCATTGATTCTGTGCCCAATTTGGTATCCTGAAGGGAAGTGTAGGGCCAGGTGTGCAAAAGAGAAGCACAAAGAGAAGGTAGAGAATAATGCAATATGTCTGTCTGGGGAACTTCTTGGAGTAGCAATGAAATAAGTAGCAAGTAAGGTGGAAAGTGGGTGTAGTATGGAGAAAAAGATATTTTAAGTTTTGTTTATCTCCTATCTTTATCTTGAGAATGAATTCCTGAAGCCTCAAATTCTGTGATCTTAAAGGTCCTGCTTTTGTGAGGCGTTACAACATTTTTAGTGCAGGTGTTATTAGGATAATGTCTTTCATGTAAGCGAGGAGTAACTTCTGCATTTCTGTTTCAGCATCAGTGTTTCTCTACTTTTCTTGTATTTCATAGTTAGTCCTTATTAAGGAAATAGTGTCATGGCTTTTGACTTCAAATTGATATGCAGGAATGTGTATGTTTGTTTCCAAGCTACATACATGCAGACAAATCTCATTTGTATTGGTAATATTTTCTGGGATGCTGTTCAGATAGACTAAAAATTCAAAGATAGCCAGCTGATTATTTTGCAGAGTTGCTCACACTTATCAAAATATATTGCAGTTTCCAAGACTATTTCTCATAATGGTGTGCTCTTCTTTTCCTTAGGCCATCCAAATCCTCTCTTTATCCTGGGGAGGAACAGAGTTCTGTTCTTGTTTTGCTGACTTTCCTTATATTTTGCAGATTTATGTTCCCATTCAATAGTGTTATCTTATGCAGGAGTAATAAATAATGCCTCTTGAAGAATTTAGGTTTATGTATTTTTCGTCATCCTTTGCTACTACCTGACAGACTTAATAAAAGCAGCTTCTAGTCTGAAATGCACCCTTACCTCATTCTGTAGAAGTTTGATTTTCTAAATGTTTCCAGAATATATTGGTAGAAAATAGTGACATGCAGAATTTCATTCATTTTTCTTGACAGGAGCTAGAAATGTGTATCACCAGTTATTCATGAGCAGCCTGCTTATGGATTTGAAGTACAAGAAACTCTTCGCTATCCGCTTTGCAAGAGTAAGTATCTTTCTTACAAAGACCCATTAAATCCTTAAAGTGTCTAGTGAAGAGAGTTTAGTTAGCATATGGTGTTTCAAATGAACTGTTATCCAAGTCTTTTTTCCTGTTTTTGGAAGTGAAAAGTTGAAGTGAAATGCTGACAACCTTATTTTAGTCTTCAAAATATTAGTTATAATGACGTCTCATCTCCTGGGAAGGAAATGGACTTTCAGTCTCTCCAGAAGTAAAGCAGTTTAGATGTTTTTGTCTTCACCATCAGCTATGCAGGCTATCACTTCTTAAGAGCTAATTGCTTCTCATTGTTGAGGTGTAAGCTGTTACAGCACTGATCAGAAATAGTGCTGAAATTCAGTTATGCTGATCAGTATTTCTGCAGTAACTAGTATTTGAAATGCTTTAAATCGGCACTGCAAAATTCTGCTCACTCTGCTGCAGACAAATAACTTATTTGAGGAGAAAATAAAATAGTAGCCTTTATTGTGAAAATGAGAGTGAGTAGATCTCACATGTGAGCAGATTAAGTTGTCATATTCTTTGTACAAAATACCCATATAATAATCCATAAGAGCTACTCTTCCTTTTATCATGGCATTAAAGTTTCCCAGAGCAGACATTTAAATTAAAAAATCAGGTCAGTGTGGATTAGAGGTGAATTTCCCCTTGTTGTTTAGAATTACCGGCAGTTGCAGAGAGATTATATGGAGGATGATCACGAACGGGCAGTATCGGTGGCTGCTCTGTCTGTCCAACTCTTCACTGTACCTACTCTGGTGAGTAGTGCCTGTCTTTCTTTTAAAAACTGATAGTTGGCACTCCTTGCCTTTTTTTGCCTCCTTCTTAATAGAACTATGAGCGATTGCAGAGTGATTTTATGAAAGATGACCACGACAGAGAGTTCTCAATTGCTGACCTCTCGATACAGATATTCACAGTCCCTTCTCTTGTAAGTACTGAAAGACTGAAAAAGGAAATCTTTATTTGTTAAAAGCCACTCAAGGTTCATAAGTCAAGGCTGCAGATCTCTTTAACATTACTGTGGAAGTGCAGAGCACTGTTGCTGCACAGCAGTCAGACTGTTTACATACATGACTGTGGGTTTAGAAGTTAAGGCATTCAGCGTTGCGAAGTTTGAGTCTGGCTTCCCAGAGTGGGCTGGGTGTTTTCAGTTTTTCTTTTTACATTTTTCTTTTACTTTCTTTAGAAAGGTACTTGCACGTTTATTTTAGAGACACACACAACATTTAGATTTCTCATTATACTGAGCCACAGTTACTGTTTGTAGAAATTTACATTACAGTTTGTGTATCATGGTTTCAGAACATACCATTCTGTTTCAGTTTTATAAATGATCCACTTTATGCTCATTTTCCAATTAACACAAGTGCAAGCAAGAACTGTCTCATGATATTCCCTACTCCCTTTGCTACTTTGAGGCTCAGACAATGCCTTCTTTCAGGTTTCCAGTTAATTTTTGTTATGGTACTTCAAGCACTGTGACTTCTCCCAGCTCAGTAAGTCTGCTGGTCTTTCACCAGCTTATGCTTGTTTGGGAAACATCTTTTTTGTTTGCTCCGGTCTCCAAATAAGTCTGTCTTTGCTAGTTCTACAAACTATACAAGTTAAACTTTGGAACTGTATTGGAAATAAAAATCTGATTTTCATACCCAGAATTGGTCAGAAAATGATTGTTTCTGAATCATCCCAAATTTAATCAGCTTAATTGAGCTCTAAGTTCAATACAAGCCTGGCAGTCACAATACTGAGCAAACTTGTTCTTCAGTTTCCTAGGGGCAGATGTTATTCATGGGAATTCAACAGGACCTCAGAATTTTGTTCTCATGGTTCAGGGCAATATTGCATTACCTTTTTTAATTTTGATTCTTTCAATAAGCATGTTGTCAATATTCAGAGTTACAGTTAGACTTAACCAACTAGTATTATCCAAATGATTGTGGTTTTAATTTTTACTTTGGCAGATTGGATGGTACAATATGTATATTAATGCATATTTTTTTTAAGTCATTTCGAACATTTCCTGGAGGAGAATAATTGCAGTGCCCCTCTCTATTTTAAAAGCATTCAAAAAAAGTAAAGCAAATGGATTTTTTGATTGTTCTGCACAATGATCGAATAGACTGATGACATGAAAGTAATAATGCTCCTACCATACAAATTAAGTCTTATTTTTTATATATTTAGAGCCATTCATTCTTAACTAAATGAATAAGCTGAAGAATGTAAACCACCCCACTGCCACTCAGTAATGTTTTCAAACTCATCTTAGTAACTACAGAGTTTGAGCTCTCAAGTAACTGATTCTTTTTGGTTTGAGGGAGGATGGATGGTTGTGTTGCTGGTGATTTTTTGAGGGGGAATATGTTAATCATTATATTTTTTTTCCCTCCTCTGCAGTAGCATTTTAGAAACTGTTTAGAAGCATGTTTAGAAAATGCAGTAGCATTTTGAAGTATCATTAGCAACTGTAGAACCCAGAAACTATAGTCAAGAACCACAGTGGCACTGGGATAAATCAGTGTGGCCAATCTTCTTGAACCTACCAGCTAAATAACAAAATCCTCATGAGATCCAAGAACTGCAAGACTCATCCCGTTTAACCTGGAGAATCAACAGGTTGGGGCAGTTCTGGAAGAATCCACAAGTAGGAGCTGGCAGTAACTACTTAGTGCCCCCTATTCTGTTGCAGAGTTGGGTTAGGTTAGGCTGGGTGTGGAAGACAATCTTTGTCAGACTTTGCAATGCCTGCAGATCTGTTTCATGCAACACATGGATATATGCAGTAGCCCTTGAGGGGAATTAGAAGTCATTTCAAGTAGTTTCTGTGTGGAAATTGCACTATGCAGTTCCTTAGCAGTTCAGAAGACACTCTGTTCACCACAGTGCTTGACAGTTTGTAAACAGAAAACAGAAGAGCTGTCACTCCCCTGAAGGGCTCATACTTAAATTATATGAGATGAGACAACACATACTTAAAGGGAGGTACAAGTTAATTATAAGACACATAATAACATGGCTCATGTCATAATTATATGGGTTAGCAGGAGCCTTACTGTAGACAAACTTCGGTACAGAAGGGATCTGAAGAAAGAGATCTGGATTATGATCATTTTTGGCTAGATTGCTTCCTTTTTCTTCTGTGATTCTGTGAAAATATAGACTTTCAATGTTCTTCTGTTTTAATTATTGAATCAACTATTTTGGATTTTAAAAAAATGTATTTTATAAACTTTGTGGTGCAGTGTGAAAATCTTGTTAGCTGTGTCTGTTAATTACAGCAAATTTTAATGTACTTTGACATAGGCTCGAATGCTAATAACAGAAGAAAATCTCATGACCACTATCATCAAAACTTTCATGGACCACTTGAGGCACCGTGACATCCAAGGCAGGTTTCAGTTCGAACGTTACACGGCTCTGCAGGCTTTCAAATTCAGGCGTGTTCAAAGCCTTATTTTGGATCTCAAGTAAGTACATTAACTATGTGTTGATTTGATAAATTGAGGAGTTTAAAAAAAATAAATCTAAAATTAACACTTGATCTTTCTGATCTACCCAGGTATGTGTTGATAAGTAAGCCAACTGAGTGGTCAGATGACTTGAGACAGAAGTTCCTAGAGGGTTTTGATGCCTTCTTAGAATTACTCAAATGCATGCAGGTATGTAAATCTGTGAATTCCAAAAGTTTGCCAAATTAAAGCAGGAAGTTAGCTATCATGATGTAGAAATGGAAGAAGTTTAGTATACTCTTCATTTTATAACTTCAGGGTAGTACAAATCTTGGAGTTGCCATGTTTTCCTGAAACATAACATGTTGCCTCACCTTTTAAAGTTTAGTTTGTCGTAGAGGGCAATAAAAAAGAAGAGCTGTATAAAAAAGTACAATTTGGGGCATATTTTGCAGTTGTAGTGGCAGACAAGGCAATTAATTGTTTGAACAACATCTGGTCTGTCTTCTATGTCAGCAGAGTTGCTCTTTGTGGTGGGGAATATGTAGTTCCTGATATACAGATAAACCTCTTTACTATGGTTTGTTTCCGCAGCCTTTTCGTGTACTCTGTTACCTTGGGAGGAGCATTTTAAAAACAATGCAGGTTTTACAGAGGCAAATTGACTGTATGATCAGTGAGGTATAAGGCAGGGTCACTCCCATTTTCCAGTACCTCAGTAGTACACCTTTCTCAGTGTTTAGCTTTCGTTAGTCTGTTCATGACAGTCACTTAAATATTTCATAATCCTCAGATAATGCTGTTTTTTTAACTCTTATGCTAAGAGCCGATTAGGTACTCTAGTTCCCAAAGTTTAGTTAGTACTTACATGGGTATAATAGCACATCCCTAGAAAGTGCATTCAAAAACCAAAATGTGCATGTAAGATTATGTATGCAGACATTGTTGTACTGCTGAAATCACTGCAGCTGTTAATGATAATACAGCTCCTATCCAAAACCTTTCTTTACACAGTATTGTTTTCTTCCGATTCCCTTTTAAATTTATTGTTCTACTGATGTGTATCTTTCAGATGATCTCAAGCTTCTTTTTACCTCTTGCAGCAACAATGTGTCTGTAAGGACAGCTAACCCCTGCCTCATATTTGTGCTAATGTTGTCAGTGTATTTCAATGATACATGGTTGAAATGTGTATTTCTTTTTGTTGCAGGGTATGGATCCCATAACTCGTCAAGTAGGTCAACACATCGAAATGGAGCCGGAGTGGGAAGCAGCGTTTACATTGCAGATGAAATTAACACTTGTTATTTCGATGATGCAGGACTGGTGTGCATTGGATGTAGGTTCCTTCTGAATTGTTTTTCCACCTGAATATGTGGAGTGGGATAAAACCCAAACATTAATATGTATTACAATTGAGCTAAGCACATAACCATAACCCAAGATTTTCTTCTCTGAGCAAGTGCAAATCTTTTCTGTATTTAAACACATCTTCTATGGCTCGAACTGAGCACAAGTATGTGGCTAAGCCTTTTACAGAATATTGCAGAGAGTTGTATCACACATCTGAAAGTTGTGATCATCACAATGCTATCAGGTTATAATTTTCAAAAAGGAGGGAATGGAGTAGGCCCTGGATCTACCAAATACTACAGATTATAAATCATGTTTCTACTCCATAAGTGCTTCAAGTTTTAGGAGTACAGACCTTGAGCATGGTAAAGTATGGCTGTGGAAGATGTGATCCTAGAATATTTGAGTGTTCAGGCTGGCTTTAATCTGTTCCTGTTAGGTAATGTGCAGTTTTTATTAACCTAGAGTGATCATTGCTCAGAAAGTTACCATAATGTCAGTTATAAAAAAACCCCATACAAGATACTAGTGGGTATTTTTCTAATCAGACAGACCAGTATGAGTTTTGCAGTCTGTGCCCCCCTTAATTTGGCTCTGTTGTTGGATTCCTTATCTTAATTTTGCAGGACTGTTACTAAAGGTAAAAAACCCCAAACCTTTCAGTCTTTTTTAGATTGGCTATATTATTTTCCAGAGAGCTTGTTTTTACTAATCTCTGTAAACTGTGATCTTTCTTTTAGGAGAAAGTGTTAATTGAAGCTTACAAGAAATGCCTGACTGTGTTGATGCAGTGTCATAGTGGGTTTACTGATGGAGAACAGCCTATTGTTCTCAGTATGTGTGGACATTCAGTTGAGACCATCAGATACTGCGTTTCTCAGGAAAAAGTTAGCATTCATCTCCCAGTTTCTCGTTTACTTGCAGGTATGAACCAGTTTAACAATGTTTCAGGAAATGAAAAATGTTTATAAATGTGATTTCTATTTGTGTGTACGTGAGGAACTGCACAACCATTGTTTAAAGCCTGAATAGGATACATTTTGGCCATATTCTAGCTGTTTGGTAGCATCTAGGCCAAATGTTCCCAAGCACTGGAGAACTTGTTTGTTCCAGGCCTGGGGGGAAATTGTCATCCCATGCCTCTGGATTTGTATTGTAGGCAGCTACTGGTGCTTTTGCCACTTGAGTGATGCAAAAGAAATACAACAAAATATGGACTGTAGTTGACTCTTTTGAAATACCTTTGAGATTGAATAGACTAATCTTACATTGTTAGACAGCAGGTTTGTCAAACAGTTGTGTTGTCAGAAATGTAAGCTATGCCTTTCTCTTTCTACTCTGCCTGTCTTGTTCAAAAGTTTTGTTGAAAAAACCTTGGTGAAATTTAGTTTACAGAATCAGAAAGTCATATAAAAAATAAGTTCACAGGTAATGAAGTGAAAAATTTAATTCTTAGGTAAAGTGCCATGCAGCTCAGTATCAAATAACTTTGAATTTTTGAATCTTTAAGCAAATCCCTTGTAACTTTAAAACGAAACAAACCGGAAAACTCTCATGTCTTTTGTAGGGGCCTCATTGTAGCTACTGAGGTATTTTATAAGCCTCTAAGGACTGATAGTAAAGGGTGAGGTATCTGTCATTGAGTGATTGTCATGATAGACCAACGGCTCATGGCTATCACTGAGGGGACATGGCACAATCAAAAGAAAGGCAAAAATCTCACTTGTACTGCATGTTTTATACAGATATAGTGAGAAAGTTTTAAATCTCTTAAAATATGTGTTTTGTAACGTGTTTCTTCAGGAAATAGCTGTGTGGCACCAAGGTGATAAATCTGCAGACTTGTCGCTGTCTGAGAGTGAATTTCATGACTTTTTTTGTCTTGTTTGAATTAAATAAAATATTGTGTGCAATATTATGTATTTATTTTTTGTGTGTTTGTGTAGGCTTGCATGTTTTGCTGAGTAAAACTGAAGTGGCATACAAGTTTCCAGAGCTGCTACCCCTGGTATGTAATTAAATGTAGCATATTAGTTAAATATAATTAATGCTGAACGAGAAGTTGGTCATGTAAGAGTAAGATATTATTCAATAAAACAAAGGACCTTTTTAGTATGAATTCTACTCAGACTATGTTTAGTAGATAAAATTACCTCTTAAAAGATTAATATCTAGGTATTCCTGACTGGAGCACAGGCAAACAGTATTGCTCTCTTAGTAAGTAAGACTCAGGTTTAAGGTTTGTATTTTGTTTTTCATGCATAACCTTCTTATTGTAGTGGAAACTGTTTTTAGGAACTCCAGACACGATCTGATTCCATCTCCTCGGCTTGGGTTCTAATTTTCTTCCCCAGCTGTTTCTTACTTCCTGCATGTTGTTATTGATGTACTGCTTCTTTAAGGGAAAGTCAAAAAAAGTGAGATAAAAGAGGATAAAACCTATCTGGGAGGGGAAATCTCTGTGTTTCTGGAAGAAGTATTAGTTAAACTTTGAATGAAAGAAATGAAATACCAATGTTATTAAACTGGGTAGTGTTGGTGTTTTAAAATAGGAAACCTGTTGTTTTTAGGAATAAACTAAAGCCCTTGTGCAGTACTTCTGTTGAGCAAAGGCAGAATGTAAAGGTGGTTAGCAGTGATTGCATGGATTGTGAATAGGCTCATCAAACTTTCATGTTGGATTTGCTTATCTTTTGCTAAAATATTTTAATGATCACGAATATCATTCCCCTTCATTTCAGCCCCCTTTTATTTTCTCTGTATGTATTAAAATACTGCATTTTTTTAATGCAGAGTGAACTGAGCCCACCTATGTTAATAGAACATCCTCTGCGATGCCTAGTCCTGTGTGCCCAAGTGCATGCAGGGATGTGGAGAAGAAATGGGTTCTCTCTTGTAAATCAGGTGAGTACATAGTAGCTGTAGAATCGGTGTTTTCTGATAACTCCCCCTGGAAATTTCACAGAATCACAGTATCATTTAGGTTGGAAGATCATTGAGTCCAGCCTTTGGTCATCACCTCATCAACTGGGCGATGACACTAAGCGCCACGTCCAGTCATTTCTTGGACACCTCCAGGGAGGGTGATTCCACCACCCTCCACAGGGCAGCCTGTTCCAGTGCTTAACAATCCTTTCCGTGAAGAAATTCCTCCTGATGTTCAAACTGAACCTTCCCTGGAACAGTTTGAGGATATGTCATTTTGTCCTGTTGCTGATTGCCTGGGAGAAGAGGCCAACCCCCATCTTGCTACTGATAAGGTTTTCCCTGAGCCTCCTTTTCTCCAGGCTAAACACCCTGAGTTCCCTCAGCTGCTTGTCACAGGACTTGTGCTCCAGACCCTTCCCCAGCTTCATTGCCCTTCTCTGGACATGCTACAGCATCTTGATGTCTTTCTTGAAGTGAAGGGCCCAGAACTGGACACAGTACTTGAGGTGTGACCTGACCAGTGCCGAGTATAGAGGGAGCTCTTGGTCTTTTGGACCTCAAAACCTCCCTTTTCAGTATTGATTTCAAATTTTACTTGTGGAAAGCAATGCAAGGTAGATGTCTGTATCAGCACTCACATAATTTCAGTATTTATGCTCTTAAACTGATCTTTGATTTTTATATTTTTTATAGTTAGAAGTTGCTTTTTTGTTTTAGGGCTGCTGCAATGCTCAGTGAACTTAGTGCTCTGTTTGTAAAGAAATTTTTGTTTAATGCAGTTAATGGCTCCTAGCATTTTACTCTGTACTGTCCAACAGCAGAATGCAGTGCAGACTTAGATCTATGCATCTTCAGTAATGCATTCATCATCGTCACATAAAAGTGTCTCAGATATAAAAATACGCAGCATTAAGATAACATTGCTATTTATGTTCATAAAGCAATTGAAATCCAACAACTCCACAGAATCATTAGAATCATTGCAGAACTGAGTGTCTCTTGGCTTTTGTCTCCCATACTTCTTTCATTGTTCTGGAGACTAGCTGCTTCCATCTCTAAACTTATTTTTAGAGATGTGTTTGTACAAATTAGGTCTTAGGTGTTTCAAGCATAACAACTATAAAATGAGTACTGTGGTGTCAGTACCACCCACGAGGGTGATCATCTAAAGTGAATTTCTCAGCAAGACTGAGATTACAAGTGGAATAGAATTTAATTCTGTGAGGTGTTAACTTGATTTATTTTCAAGAAAATTTTTCCAGTCCCACAAGCCCTTGTCTTCAGTGGATAATTGCAATGAATGTGTACTAGGAGACTGAAATAAGCTGCTCACACATATTATATTCTCACACTTCTTGACTCTTAAAGAATCTCTACAAGGTGATGTCCTTTACTGTCATTATTAAAGCAAAAAGAGGCCTAGTTATGTACAATTATAGCAGTGCCCATATTGCTGTAGACACACATCAAATCTGGAACTTCAGCATAGCATTTGGTGGTGAAATAAAGTCTCTGCTAATGTCCCCTGATTGTCAGTATCTTGAAGTTAAAAGCATGGTTTAGTTCAGGGAATATGGCTCCCACAGTCTGCAAGTCCTTTCTCTGTTCTTTGACTATGGAGAGCTGATGTTCAGCCAGATTCTTTTGGATATTTTCCCAGACTATAGAAGTGAACATCTCTAAGTGTGGATTATTAGGGTGGGGAAGAAAGGGAGGCATGCTTAGCTGTCTTCCATGTAATTCTGGTGAGAAATGGTGTGCCTCTAGGGGAAAGTTTAGCATGCTGAAGATTGTTCCCAGTCCTCGGTTGAAACTTGTCAGCCCTATATATTTTTCCTGAATTGTGATAGAATCAAACTTTCCACATTTCAGTGCCATGCACAGGTTGTGATGCTGCTGTTTGGCACAGTCTTCTTGAGTTCACTCCCAGGATGGTTTGGGTTAACTGTAGTTCTATCAGAATATCAGCATCTTTCTGAAACTGGCAATTCCTGAAAGATTCCATCTCAAATAATTAAAGAGCTATTCATGAAGCACAGAAAAAACTGCAAGGGCACTTGGAGAAATTCTCCGGGGAATTTCAAACAGTTAATTGCTAAACAAATAGATATATTAAAATATAAGCCGAAGAGGTCAAAAAGATTTTTCCTTTCTAAGTGTATGTAATCCAGACATTAGATCACTGCAACCCAGTCAACTATTGTGCTTGTTTTGTGCTATATATAAAAAGCTTTTTGCGTGCAGATATATTTGTATAATTTTTTCAAGTCAGGGACGAATTTTTTGTTTACCAGTACTGACTGTATAGAAAAGTTTTATTTTTCAGAACTAAAATAATTTTAGATGAACTATGGTCTTTGTTAATTATTGTGTTGTTTGTGTTTCTTTTCAGATTTATTACTATCATAACGTGAAGTGCAGGAGGGAGATGTTTGACAAGGACATAGTAATGCTTCAGGTAATGACATGTCCCAGTCTGCATTTTTATCAAGCTTTGTCAGGATGTGTGTGTGTTTGGTTTTAGTTCCATCAGGACCTTTTAATGACAAGGAAAAACGTCAGATTTTTGTGGAAGGACTTCAATTTTCTTATTGTGTCTGTATCATGGAATCATTTGTAAAGGAAATGCTGTTGTTGTAATCCTTGTTTTTTAACTATACTGTGAAAGGGCAGAATTTTCTTTGTAATGTATGTATAATGCTGCACCTTCAAGAATGGAATATTTCAAGTAGTGGGTTGTGCTGAACTGGTAGTTGGGTGAGTTTGCATGTCATCAGTAATGTACTCAGTGTATGTGTTGCCTCTTCCTCCTGTCAAAGTTGGCATCTAAAATATTGGGTAGAAAACAGAACTCCATCTAGTAGTTTGTGATTTATATTTCTTCCTTCAGAAGAGATTTTGCAAATCTGTCAGTCTATTTAGCTCTGACATAAATGCAATACTTCTACATTGAGAACAATGAAAGCTGAAATTTGCAGCTTGGGGTATGTATCTCACCTGGACAGCAAAACCTTTTCCCAGGAAGTCCCTCAAATCTTACCTAGGGTTAGCAATACCCGAGAGGATATGTATGCCTCAAGTTACTTTGCTTTCAGACCTATTTCCCTGAGGCTTGATCTGATCCTAATTTTTAATTAGCAGCTGCTTATTTGGGTAGATATTCTTCAGCTTTGTTGGAAATTAAAATCTTAAAGATGGTCCCATTAGTAATGCGATAGTAAACTAACAACAAATATTTTATATTTGGCTAACTTTGTAGTTAGCCGTATCTTACCTAAAGATACCTTGTTTAATAAACAGAAAATACTTTACCCAGTGGTTTTCAGAAATGGAAGTCAGTGCTTGTGCTGCATTGAAACATCAGTACTCTTTCCAGGAAGGTCTGGGAAGTGTTGCTGCAAAATGTTAAGCCTTTCCTTTGGGGATTGGAATTTGTTTTAAAAATCCTCATTTCTATACACTGAGTGATAGTATGCATTCTAAAACTT